AGTCCTCGTATTTCAGAGTCTACTCAAAATATAGAAACGTGTTTAAATGCATTATATACTTTATTAGATTCTACATGGGCTCGTAAAGTTTTAATTACAGATCGTTCATTACCGATTGAATTATGTAATGTTCTTCACAGGTATCTTTTTTTAATTATATAAATATAAATATATAAATGTTATATTATAATTAACAATTTATGATATTTTATTGTAGAATGCTTTTAACAAGAGAAAATTTTACGATTCAAATGATAGTAATGGAAGTTTTAAAACAAATAATGAAAGCAGCACACGAAGATTTAATAGAAAAAAAGAAATCTAAATTGAAAGGTAAAAAGAAATAATATTCTTTTTTATATAAAACATATTATTAGCATATTATGAATTATTATTAATATATATTATTTTGTAATAGAAATTGCACCAGTACATGAAGAAAGCAATGAAACTGAAGATGTAGATTTACTAGGGGAAGGAGAAGAAAGTGGTGAACTTATTCCTGGAAAATCATTAGTATTCGCTATTTTGGAAGTATGTTTGTGTCTTTTGGTTCGACAAATACCAGCATTAAATCCTAATCCTGGTGGAACTACAGCAATTTTATCTCAAAAGGGATATATGCCATCTGAAGAAAGTGGGAAACTTATAGCTGCTACACTTAATATAATGGAATCTCTTCCTACTCTTTGTTCTCCTCAAGGTAAAATATTTAATTTTAAATAAGATATTTAATATTATCTTTAAATAATTATCTAATTATCTTTAAATAAGATAATTTTAAATATTTATTTTTAATACATATTTTTGAATATTAGGAGCAATAGCAATTTTACCAACATTATTGTATTTATCAACTGGAGTAATTAGAGAAACTGCAGTGCGTACTGACAATGAATGCAATAAAACAACATCAGATGCACCGGTTCATGCAGCTTTGCATTGCATAAAAAACCTTATTACAAATAAATATGCAAAAGATCATAAAAGTAAGGAACAATGGACAAGTCTTTTACAAAGCGCTCTTGCTAAAATTATCGACCTCGCTAAAACTGGTATTGGAAGTTAAAATTATATAAGATTTATTTTCATGATAAGATGTTTTTTTAATTAATAATTTTTAAAAATATTCATAGGAAATGATGAAACAAAAATGGATGAAGTGGCAATGATGTTAGGAATTGCAGTATTTGTTCTTCATGCATCGCCTGAAGTTGTGAGTGCACCGAACTTACAGTTTCCGTGTATAAATCATTTTAGACACGCTTTTCAATCAGAAAATATAATGGTTATTATTTTAAAAATATTTTATGTATCATTAATAATTTAATATACATATATTCTTATTTTTTGAAATATTACAGGTTAAATTAAAATGCGTTCAAACATTGAGAACAATATTTTTACATCCAGAACGTATAATAAGTATTCCTTATATTCATGCATTAGCTCCAAGATTAGTAGAATATTTATATAGTGATAAAAGTAAACAAGTCACAACTGATGTGGGATTGTCTTTCACCTTAGAATGTGTTAACACAATTGAAGCTCTTATAGGACTTGCTGATCTTTCACATCGTATGTATATTTATTTGTATTATTTTGATTTCATTTATTATAAATTCAATAGTATATTATAATATAATAGTATATTAATATCAGATTAGTGTATATAGTTATATAGTAGTGTTATATATAGTATATTAATATAGATATTAAAAAGCTGATAAAAAGTATGTTACATGCTATTCAGGAGATCTTTTGCAAGGTGTGTGGAAAAACAATATAATTATGCAATGTAATATATTTCCATCATATTTTATATCATAAAATATATTTTATTTGTTTAAATGTATTAAATATAAATATATTATTAATTTTTGTAAGTTTGTTTCTAATATTTTATTTTTATAAATATCTAGGCATACAGATGTTAACTTTACTTGTGCCAATCCTAATTAATTATTTATTGGAAGGAGATCAACTACAACATGCTTCCAAATATCAATTAAGTCTTCATCAACAAAGTTTTCAATGGCTTAATAAAATAGGACCAAAATATCCTCAGGTATCTAAGTTATATTATAATGTACAATGTATATTATAATATATGTCGAAATTAAAAAAATATATATATATATATAAATTATAATTATTTAAATAAAATTTTTTATTTTAGGAATTTAAAATGTTAATGTCACAATCTACAGAATTAAAAACTAAATTAGAAAATGCAGTTAGATCTACTCATCAACAAGCACAAAAACACCCTAGACCAGTAGATCTTGTAAAACCACAGATAAAAATCTCTACACCATCTATTAAGCTCAAAACAGATTTTTCAAATTTTAATTAATCTTTCTTAATATAGTATCATTATTATAATAGTATCATTAAACATGTTGTATATTTATTTAAAATATATAATTTTATTATAAATTATAATTTAAGTTATAATATAATTTTATTATAAATTAAACTCTCATAATTAAACACAGAATACTTTTATACTAGAAATATTAAAAATGAGATAACAACATATATCACATAACAATATTCTGAAATATAAATATACAATATGTTAAAAAATAGTCTTTGTAAATCTATTATAATATATTAATAATAGCATTATATTAATTCATCAATTAAATTACATAATTAAAGTAAATAATTCAATATTATGTATAACAAAATATTTTAGTTATATGAAAATTCTTATATTTCGTTTTCCAGTACTTATTTATATATGTATATTATCTAGTATATGTAGGTATTGATAATTTTTTAAAAAAATTGGATTATTCTGTTCATTCTAATGTTACAGGTATTCGTTCGAACTCGTCTGATTTTTTTAAATCCAAAAACTCGAATCCAAATATAGGATGATTTCAGGTACTTGCATATTTCTAATGTTTTTGGTTTTTCTTGTCTTTTAGATAAATAAGAATTGAATTTAAATATAAAAATATTTAAAAAGATAATATTAGCAAAATTTAATATGCAAAATATTAAAAAATTTTTTTTATTTAGTTATATTTTTTAAGTTAAATTATTATTTTTGCTTTTTTATATAAACATATAAAAAAAATTAATGCTATACATTTAGAACATGTGTACTATAAATGTATAATTATATTTATTTAAATTGTAAATCTTATATATATATATATAGTATATTTTGTAGAAAACATTAATAATTTTTTTAAGTTTATTTATATTAATTATATTAAAATAAATATAAAAATTGAGATTTATTATATCAAGACATAATAAAAAATTATAGAAATTAATGAAAGAATAAGTAGTATTTTATGTTATGTAACTAAATATATTTTCTTAAATTATAAATATATATTTTGCATAGTTAATATTACAATATAAAAATATATAATATTCTATTATTAATAAATTAAGATTTATAATGTTACTAATTATAGTGTAATTTAAGAAATTTTTTTTACATAATTAATCATTTTAAGTACAATTTTTAAATATTTTAAAACTTAGTCAAAATAAAGATTATTTGTGTAATGATTGTATTTTACATAAATTTTAACTTAATATATTTATAATAATTTATTTTTAATAAATGTAATAAATAGATTAGATTTTTGTTAATGAATAAGAAATTCTTATTCTCTAAAAATCTAATTTATTAGTATTTAAAATAACATATTATAAAATAAATAGATTATAAAAAGTAGATATTATAAAAATATATTGTAAAATAAAATAAACATAATGTAAGAAGAATATCATATATTATGAAATTAATGAAATTCTTATATATTTCATGCAATATATATAAATAAAGTAGAACATAATTATTAAATCTAATATAAAGTACTTCTTTTTAATATAATATTGGTTAATAAAATATAGAAGATATATTATATTGTAATATAATGATAACAATTATGTATAATAATAATAATTATTATATTAATTTTAATATTTGTTAGAATAATCAACTTAAAATATAATAGAAAAAGAAAAAAATAGATTTTTATCCATTCAAAATATTTAAGAAAATTATGCATATATAAATATGCATATATAAATCTATTATAAATGTTTTTAATAAATCATAGTAATTTAATTAAAAATTTTAAATATATTTAATTATTTAATAAAAAATATATGTTGAAATTAAAATAATATTTATATTCATTTAAATATAATATATAAATTTAAAATTAATATTAAATATATTAAATTATAAAAGTATAAATGTTATAAATATTATATTTACTTTATTCTAGAATAACTTATATATATGTTATTAAATATTAAGTACATATTAAATATTATATAATATATATGTTTTATCTATGTAAAGCAATATATCAATGTTATGTATTAAACATTAAATATTAAATATTAAATATTAAAGATATTAAAAAATATAAATATTTATTTATAAGATATAAGTATTTCTTTTAAAAATATGTAAATTATTAAATAAAGTAATAATTATATAATTATACATTGCATTCTCGTGTTATTTTTTACTAATCTCAATTAGCATATATATATAAAGCAAGTATATATAAAGTATATAAGTATATAATCTTATAATATTTACATTATGATATATATTTACATTATGATATGTTGTATATTTGTTACTGTATTATTGAGAAAGATATGATATTATAATTATATATATATGCTAATTGTATATTAAAGAAATATAAAATTTACATTAATGAAATATAAAAAAAAATTAAAATTAAAAAATTTAATATTTCGTTGGTATGATTTGAGTTCCAATCGTCATTTCCTCGTATGATTTCCAGTTCCAATTATCATTTAGTAGAGTAGGATAGCAACCGATATATTCGCATATAAAAAATATTTCGTTAGCTGTGCATGACTTTTAATACATTTTATCTTTTCGTAATAATGAATAATCGTATTATCTTCAAGTGATATTCTTCTAAATCATATTGTGAATTGTATAAAATATAAATATAAAAATATATCATAAAAATTGTAATATTGTAAAAAATAAATTTACAAAATAATTGCATTTTTTATTGTTTATTACAAATATTAAAGTAAAATGATAAAAGCAAAAAAATTTATTGTGTTAAAACATTTTAACGGAAAACCGAAAAAATCAGATTTACAATTAATTGAAGAAGAATTACCTAGTCTTCAGAATGGAGGTAAAAATTTAATATTATTATATCATATTAATATATTTAATATATATATATATTTATGGAGATATTTTTAATTTAAATATTTCGTAAAATAATATTTTTAGAAAAAATGTAAAATTTTTTAAAAGAAAAATACAACTATACTATTTATTTTTTATTTGTTGAATATTTTTAAGGTCATTTGAAGATCAATTGTTAATATTATGTTAATTCTTATCGACTATATTTCGATCATATTAGTCCTATTTATTAAAAGTAACTATTTCACGCATTATTTTATATGTATCTAAATACACATATAATAAATAATTTATAATTTTTTATTTTTAATATATTAATACATTTTTATTACAAGTATTTATTACAAGTATATGATATACATATATATCACTTTTGTATATTTATATTTTATATTCTATTTATTATTATAATTTTTTTAATTTTAGAAAATAATTGAAAATATCTTTTGAATATACAAATTTTTGAATAAATATTAACAAAGTAGTAAAAGAAGGACAGAAATATGTTAAAAATTAGGAAATCAGCGCCATCTCTAGAGTGCCGCAAATGAAACATGTAAAGAAAGGACAGAAAATTGTGGGAAAAGGATAGAGATAAAATAAGAATTGACTATCAACGCCATCTCTCGAGTATCAAGCATATTTTTTTTTAGCATATTTTAAACTTTGTTTTTCTAAAAATACTGAAGATGGTGCTGACTCTCAATTCTTGTTCTATCTTATCCTATCTTTAAAGAAATATTCTTAATACTCGAGAGATGGCGCTAATGGTCAATTCTTACCATATCTCTATCCTTTTCCTACAATTTTCTGTCCTTTCTTTCTATGTTTCATTTGCGGCACTCTGAAGATGGCGCTGATATCAATATTTTTATTCTATCTTTATCTTTCTCTCATTATTTACTCTCCTTGTCTATAATTCTTGGTGCATAATCATTACAGTCATGATTACATGATTACAGAAGTATGAGATATCAATTAAACTCCTTTTATCATTTCTCTTTTAAAATTATAATGCATTTTAATCTTTAATGTAAAAAAAAATAAAGATGTTATAGATATCTCTTCAAGATATGAAAGAAAAAATACATTTTAAATTTATTCTATATTTTATCTTTATGTTTCTATTTTTATAGAAAATAATATACTATTTTTACTTATGTATTAAAAATATATAATTCTATTTAAATATAGCAAGTTAATTTTTATATTTCGTGTATTATTTGAGAAGAAAAATAATTACATAATATTATTTTTGAAACTATTTAATTCTTATTTGAAATATTTTTTAATATGCCAAATAATAAAAATACAATACAAATGCTTAATGTATTCTTGAATTTTTTAAAAATTAAGAAACGATTAAAAATGCATTAAAAATGGCAGTTTTCATGATAGAAGATAAATATGCAAGAAGTAAATGTTTAGATTTGTTTATTTAAATTGTAATAATAATATTTTAAAACTTTAACTTTAATTCTAAAAAAAATTACAACACTAAGAAGAATGATAAAAAGTTAATTATAAGAACAATAAATATACAATAAATATATAAAAACCTCTTTTATATATTATATTTTCCTCATACAAAGAAAAATTGGATAAAAATTTCTTTCAATCTATAATTCATAGAAAATTCCAAGAATTTTAATGATTCCTAGAATTCGAGGTCATTTCCAAGAATTATCAAAAATTCCTGGAAAAATTTCTCGAGTGACCTTCTATAATATCATGTTCTCCTAATATAAAATCGAGTTTTTGGCCAAAAATTTCGTTCGTTCGATCATTCGGAAATTTCCAAGAATTTGACGTCATTTCCAAGAATTTTAAAGATTCCGAGAATTTAACGTCATTTCTAAGAATTGCGAGAAAATTCCTAGAAAAAGCGATCTCCTGTTGTATCATGTTCTCCTAATACAAAATCGAATTTTTGACCAAAAATTTTATTCGTTCAGGAAATTTCGATCTTCCTTATTAAATATCTCATTTGTTTTCCATAATATTAAAAAATGCTTCGAATAAAAAATGAATAGTTTCGTAACGGCTATATTTCGATGTCTTCAATTTTTTCGTAGATGAACTCGATAAAAAACTTATCAACTCACTATATTGATGGAATACATTGTAATTATGTAATAATGTTAATGCAAAATTGTACATTATTACATTAACTATACTTTTATGTATTTTTTAAATATTATAGGAATAATTATATCGGAACTTTAAATAAAATGTTATTTTTAAAAATAATAATTAAAAAAAAAGAAATTTTAAATTAATGTTATATTGATAACTTACAAAGTTGTGATGTATTCTTGAATTCAAATCTAAGATGTAAGATGACAATTTTCTTCGAATTTATCGAATAAAATCTTACATCTGATAAATTTCATATTTGAATATATTTTAAAAAATTTGAATGAATTAAAAAAAAATGAAGAGTTTTAGTGATTTCACTTAAATTTTCGAAATTCAGGATTTTAAATACATAATAAAATTTATATGATGATTATTAAGAAAAAAATAAAATAAAATAAAAATAAAAAATTGAAATTATCATAATTATTCTTTAATAAATTAAATATTTACAATATAATATATATTAAAAACTATATAACATTTTACATTTAATTTTGCTTACTTTTAGAATTCCTTATTCAAGCGGAATATCTTTCCGTGGATCCTTATATGCGAGTTTATATGCTAAGATATCCAGTGGGTTCAATAATGCTTGGCTCGCAAATAGGCAAAATCATTGAGTCAAAGAATTCAAACTTTCCAGTGGGAAAAAAGATTATCGCTGATGTCGGTTGGAGATCACATACAATTATAAATCCATTTCGTTGTAATGCAGAATATGAATTCAAAAAACCAAAACTACTTCCTGATTTAGAAGATTTGCCAATGTCGTTATATTTAGGAATGTTAGGAATGCCAGGGTATTAATTATTTGAATATTGAATTTTTTTTTAATATCTTTTCATAAACTAGATTGATATTATTTATGTTTTTAAATTTGTTATTTCAGGAATACAGCTTATTTTGGTCTTTTGGAAATTTGCAAGCCAAAGAAAGGTGAAACTCTTGTTATAAGTGGAGCTGGAGGAGCTGTTGGTTCTCATGTTGGTCAAATAGGGAAAATTCTTGGACTTACTGTCGTTGGTATTGCTGGTTCAGATGAAAAATGTAAATGGCTTGTGAAAGAGCTTGGTTTTGATCATGCTATTAATTATAAAGAAGGAAATCTTGATGTTGCTTTAAGGAAGGCTATACCAAAGGGAATCGATTGCTATTTTGATAATGTAAGTACAATGTTTTTTCTTTAATTGAATGAAATAATGTTTAAATTTTATAATTATTTTATTATTATTACGTATGTTATATAACAATAGGTGGGAGGAGATATTTCTAGCATTGTTATGTATCAAATGAAACTCAATGGCCGCGTAGCTGTTTGTGGATCTATTTCTTCGTATCACGCTGATGCTTCATCGTTACCAAAAGCGACGATTCTTCAACCAACAATGGTATTTAATGAATTAAAGGTAGAAGGTTTTTTGGCCACTCGTTGGGACAATCGTTGGAACGAAGGTATAGAAAAAAATCTTCAATGGATACGCGAAAAAAAAATTCGTTATCACGAAACCATTGTAAAGGGTTTCGATAATATGTTTGATGCATTTGTTGAAATGTTAGAAGGAAAGAATATTGGTAAAGCTATTGTTCAAGTTTGAAGAAAAAAAAAAAATATTGTGATTTGTTTATTAATTATTTTTATATCTATCTACAAAATAAATATATTTTTTTTTTCGTGTAATGGTAAATGTATTAAAATTTTAAATTATATAATTATATAAAATAATATTTTCGATTAATTTGTACATTTTTATTATATATGCAAATATAAAATTTTTATATAATTATGAATTTTTTTATTTATGAACCACAAAAGATATGAAGTAATTAGCATAGACAGTTTTATTGCAATATATTACATAGATCATAATGCATCACAATGAATAATTACATTTGGTTTTTCGATGCCCGAGAGCATGATGCTTAAAATTTAGGTACATATCTTAATAATAATCGTAACGTTACGTCTAGTACAACCTTATACGATACCTTACAGAAAATTACGCAAACTTACATCCATTTCTACTTACAATATAATACATTTCTCAGTTTAATGGAAATTCCATTGTTTCGAAAAAACATTAGAGAGAAAAATTTCAATAAACAGAAATACATATTTCAATTCAATTTGTATGTTCTTGTTGGTAAATATTTTTTTGTTGTACGAATTAATTTCAAAATAATTATTAACATCATTGAAACACCATCAATGTTATACCTATCGAAAAAAGAGATTGATCGTAAAAAATAAAATTCCTTTTTTTATATAAAGATCAGTTTCACCGTTTAAAAAAAGACAATATCATTATAAATACAAAGATCGTATCACGGTGCAGGATTAAAAATCATTCGATCAATTCGGAAAAATACTCGGAGAAAAATACATCAATTTTAAAATTGTACGAATATACGAATCGTTTTATCAACAATGTAAAACAATCGGATATCGTAAATTTTATGATCTCGATTATAAATCATTTGGAATATTCCGTCCAAGTCTAATAATGAGAATCATTATTATTTTTCATCAAAAAGACATATTTCGATTACGATTTAGCCGGATATGAAACTCGAGTTCGAATTTCACCGAATCGATGCAAATTGTCCTCCTCATATAATAATCCTGAATTGCTCGGATCATGTCCCATCAAACGAACACATTCGCATCAGGATATTCGTTGGAATTTCATCACGTGACATTGATCTCCTCGTCCTCCTCGTTCTCTGTTTGTTCTTCCGGCCGCTGTGGACTCGTCAAAGGACTCACGTCGCTTAAATCCAATCGAGGCCTATCTCCATCGGCGTCGCTTAAGTCAGGATTAGGATTGTTCTTGTTTGGTAATGTCTGCTCTCGTGAACCTCCGGTTGCTAGCAACTCCCTCTCTTTGCTGTTCCTCCACTTCATTCGCCGATTTTGGAACCAGATCTTTACCTGGACACACACAATTCGAAACGTGTTCATTTTATGTGATATAATATAAATTAAATAATTTAATCGTAATAAAGATACGAGATAAAGCTACGATTTGACGATTCCTTCCTTGGAATCAATATTAAGAACAATTTTATTAGGAATATTCTTGACGATGGTTTAAATGATATTTAAAGAATATATAAAACGTAAAAAATGTTATAAATAATATAGGACAAACAATTCCATTGAAATGGCTCTATTTAAAAATTAAATTTAATTGGCGTTTTTTTAAATGATATGTTTAAGTTTTTCTTTTCTTTTCTTTTGTAATTCCACAAACGCTAATTTCTGGAATTAGGAAGGACGCGACGTTCTCACAGTTCTCTCAGTCATTTTCATCCACTATTAAAGACCATAATACATATTACCGAACGGTCGAACGAGCCAACGTCAAACGCACATGAACTTTGAAAATTTTCCGTACCCCTACCCTTTGTATCCCTTTTCCAGCCAGTTTCGCCTCTCCTTCGTGCCACCCTTCACTTCCCCGATACCTGTGTTCCCGTTCGCCACTTTATTACAGCCTTGAGCTATAATAACGTCGAAACGTTGACCCCGCGTTCGCCGCGAATTGATTTATCTAAACTACTTTTCGAATTTTTCACTCCTCCCTCTCCCACTTTGTTTCATTGATATGATCCGTTAATTAATCGCACGGATGCACTTCACACTCCTGATCTCGAAGATTTTAAGAAGTAAGAAAATAATTAAGATGTGATGTTTACAAAATTTTGTTTAAGGAAGATGAAAGAATATTCGATAACCTTCCCGATTTTTCCTTAATTTGAAGGATTAAATTTTGGAATTTTTTGATTTGGCAAGTTTACAAAATTTTGTTTAAGGAAGATAAAAGAATATTCGATAACGATTTTTCCTTAATTTGAAGGATTAAATTTTGGAATTTTTTGATTTGGTTTGGTAAGAGTTTTAAAGAGTCTGGCGGAGATAAATTAAAAATCGTTTAAAATCGATCGATGCAGAGATGTTGTTCGTGCAGAGTTAGAGAGAGTGAAAATGATTTAATGTCGGACGATGGAGATTCGTTCAGAGACAAAAGGAAACTCATTGGCATTAATATTCGTACGATTCGTATTCGTTATTTGACGCGATATTGTGTTTTAAAAAGGGTTTTAAACAGAACTATTAACAACTTTTGAAATCTTTTCAACAACATTATCTGCGCTTGACATCAGCTGCCTCGTTATTAATACTGCTTGACCCTGTTGGTAGGAAGGGCGAGAAATTGATAAAAAAGGTTTATTATTCTTTAATATCTCGTCGAACATTTTATGGAACTTGGCGAACGTGTTGCGTGCAACTGACATGTTGAAATGTGAACGAACTTGATGCGTCAATGCATCTTTCTTCTTGTTACATACTTTTTATTGTTTTCATTTATTTCCTTCAATTTTTATTTTTTTTTTTATTTTTATTCATCAATTTTTTTTTCTTCCTTCGTTTTTTTTTTTTTAGAAACGTAGCTAAATTTAAATAATATATATCAGATTTAACAAAATTTACATGAAAAATCTTATCCATGTTTTCAATTTACAATTTCTAGATTGAATCTCATCAAATTTATTGAAACGTATTTAAATTTTATATATAGTAATCAAATAGAACACTTTTTCTAATCATTTTTGAATTCGAAAACGTGGACAAACAAATTTTAAGTACGTAGGTGAGAAAATTATATCTGGATCTGCCAAGGGTTAATTTTACCCAAATTGTTTTCGTATTTTCATTTGGCGGGGTGTGTGCACTTGACACGATGCACGAACCCTAACGATTCGACGTGTTAATACGCAGTGGGGTAAATTCCGCGTTGTATCTTCAATAGATACTGGTCCAAAATTTGGAATCAATTTTTCTCTCTCGTTTCATCCAATTTTTTCATCGAATTGAAATCAACGTTACAGATGTATTAACAGTACTTTCATCTAATTCAATAGATAGATTGAATGATTCCAAATTATCATTTTTGACACGAAAATGCATCATCATTATGTAATTCGACACAGTGTGATATAAAAAAAAATATATGTATATATAATTTGAAGCGAATTTTTATAATCAAACGATTCTACGCTGAACGATTTCGTGAAAATAAATATAAATAATTTGTATATAATTCAAACTAATGGAAAGATTGATTTTTTTTTATTTATTCGATATTTAAATAATTACGCACGTAAATTTGGAATTTTTTTTAATATTTAAAAAAGAGGGTCTTATATATTTTTATATCTCAATAATTGATATAAATTGTTCTTTATTGATTCGGTCATTTATTGCTCGATGATCGATTGAAAGGAGTACAATCTACAATTTTTGCGCGAAATTTCACAAACGTCGATCTGGCTTGACGTTTTGCATAAAAATTCTGTTTAAAAATTCCACTTTTAACGCTCGATTAATTAAAATGATTTGTAATTTGGTGTTTGAATCACCTTGGGATGATAGATTTCCGAAAAATATATCGACGAAATTTTCTTTCCTTTTTTTCTTTTTTTTTTTTTTTTTTTTGAAAGTATCGAACTATCGGTTAGAATAAAAGTAGCGTCGAGCCGTTTAAAAGGCAAAAATCCCTTGAAATCCGATGCTTTCGACGAACGAAAAAGATTATAAGAGGGTGGATTAATATTGAGCTCAAGACGTTGCTCGCTTAGGGTTGAACACTCCATCCAGGAGAATGCTTGAAAATGAAAACCAGGAGGGGATCGCTTTGCCACGCGAGTACATATTAAAAAAAAAAAAAAGAAAAGAAAAGAAAAGAAAAGAAAAGAGAAGAAATGAGAAAAAGAAAAACGAAATAATATCGATATTTATTCACTGCTATTTAACGTTTCTTTTTACTGCAGGAAATTTTAGAAGAATGATTTCAGAAGCAAGAGAAATTCATCGATTATCGTATAATAAGTTCTCAACGAGCGGAAATTTTGTGGAATGTATTCCAACGGAATCAAAGGATTCGTACTTCCGTACTTCCGGTTCCGGCCGATTCTTCTTCTCCTCCTTCTTTCCGTTTTACGTTTTGCAAGTGGCGACGGTGATTGATTGTCCCGTCAGCGGCAGACAGGTTCGGGAACTGTATAACAAAAGTAACAAAGCTGTTCTCCGTTCCTGGGTGTGAAAGACACGCCAAGCTTTTCGTAGAACTCGAATCATTCCATTGTTCACGCTTTTCATTGCTTCTGTCCCGTGTATATATATATACATATCTGTACCTTTCCGCAACTTTCGATCATTTTGTAAATCCAAGTTCCAATCTTTTTCTGTCAAATTTTCCCTTCGAAAATAATATCCCCTCTCGTTCGCGAGATAGAAAAAAAATTATATCCAAAATTTTAACCGAAACAAGAATCTCGCCGATCTCACCTTATCGAACCGTGATATAATTGAAATTACCCATTAATGGCCATAATTGCTATTTCAATAACAAAGCTACGGATAATTCGAATATCATAATCAATGATCACTCGAACAGCCACGCTCGATGCAATAATTACTCGAATCGCTTCACCGCCCCTCGATTCAATTTCTCTCCCTCTCCATCACCACCTCCCTGCCCCCGGAATCACGTTTAATCGTTAACTTATTGGCTGGAGAGGCCACGCGTTCGCGCGCCCCTCTCACCTCTTCCCTCCCCCTCCTTTCCCCAGTTCAAAATCCTTAAACACCCCCCCGCCCCCTCCTCGATTAAACACCAACCCCGTCCCCGATATATCCCACCTCAGAGACCAGGAAAGAAAACACTCGATCGTCGTAAAATTTCTCTCCTCATCCCCTTTGAGAAAGAAAAAAACTTCCCCCCTCTGCTTCTAAATCATCACCCCCGAAACCATCCCGAGGATCCGATAATATAAGGCGAATGTAACTCCAATCCTTTACGATTCCCATTAAAATAAAAAAGAAGGAAACGAGTGAGAGAGAGGGAGAGAGGAAGAAAAGGAAAGGAAAACCGGAAACGTTTCACGCGATACGCGATAAGGATCGGGTCCGGATACGAAAGGATCAGGAATAACGAACGACATCCGAAACGCGTTCTATAGAGTGGGTAATCGTTAAACGATTGGCTGCAGTCAGCCTACCGGTCTCTCCTTTCCTCGACCACCCTCTAACCCTCGCTCCTTCCCACCTCCGAGTCTTCTCCTCCATTCCCTTCTCCTCGCGGCCACGCGCGACCGCCCTTACTTCCGCCCCACCTCCGCGAGAACCACGAGGGCCACCCTCTTTATCTCCCTACGACTCACCCTCTTTCGTCCTCTCTCCCTGCATACGTATACATACACACACATACGTACACATATACACAAAGTACGATAGGTAGTTCGGTGCGCGGCGGTGACGCCATCTGGCGCAGTTTAATAAAAGACGATCGATTATGACGTCGGCCTCA